ATGTGGGGGGCGGGGGGCGGGGGCTGGGCTGCAGGAATAGCCACACCTGAAGGTCTGAGTGCATGCCCAGTCCTGGAGTCCGGGGCGCTGAACGCTGCCTCTGGCAGGGCTGTGGCTGTGAGGTTACCAGGTGGTAGCAGAGGCGCTGTCCACGGGGCTGTGACCCCTAAAGTGCCTGTCCCTCCTGGGCTTTGGGTTGCTGGTCGGGCATGTGCTGGACTGCTCCCACTGCCCAGGTTGGGGGGTGTGGGCAGAGAAGGAGCGATCTGCCCCCCGCCGCCACAGGCTGGCTGTTTCACCCCCAGCTCCTGACCGCCAGACCCACAGAGCCACATGTGGGGAGGGGCGCTTCTCCCTGTGCGAGGGGTCTCTGACCAGCTACCCCAAAATAGGATCCCCAGGACAGCTTTACCCACAGTAGTGAACAGTGGGGATTCAGGCCAGAGCCCAGATGCTCCTGTGGTCAGCTTCCTGAGCTGGACGGGGAGGAAAACCGGGGGACAGGGGGAGGAAGAGAACAGGTGGAGACAGAGCCCCGGCTCCAGCATAAGGGCTACAAGCGCGGTTATATGAGATGACCCAAGGCTACCAGGAGATCCAGAGACCCTGAAGCTGGGCGGGTGGGTGGGAGTGGATGGAAAAGGGCAGAAACCAGGGCTGGGGGCCCCGCCCCCTTCTCAGCTGGAGCTGGGGATGGAGCAGAGCAGGGCTGCACGGGGACAGAGTGTGCTACTCACACTTCTCTAGAGAAGCAAGCAGGGTGGCTCTTCTGGCTGCCAGAGGAGGGGCAGGAAAGGTGGGGACTACGCAGAGCCCAGGGCGGGAGCTCCCCAGTGGGGTGCCTCTTGGGCATGCAGCCTCTGGCTCTTTGGCTGGAGGAGCAGAGCCAGGTCCTAGAGCTCCCTGAACCCCCGGGGAGCCATCCGTATACAAGGTCATGATGGGTAGTGACCCATAAGGCAGAGCTGCCGGGGACATTCGTCTCCCTAGGACTGGTCAGATGGAGCACTTGTTTCTGGGGCCCAACTCTCCCTCACCCTCTTCCCTAATACGGCCTCCTCAACTGAGCAGGCAACAGCCCCAGATGGACCAACATGTACAGAGAGGTGGAATCAGAGCTATGGGCATCAGATCTCAAGGGCCCAGATGGGTTGCCACAGTCCAACCCAGCCAGGTCCAAGAGCAGCCCAAGTCAGGGGAAGTGGGAGAGGATAAGCCTCGGGACTGGCCCCAGTGATTCCCCAGGAGTGGTTGACCTCCAGACACCCCTGTCCCAGGGAACAAGGCCACCCCTCCTGGCTTGGACTCAGCTCAGCACAGCTCCGTGACCCCACTCTCGTGCAGCACCCTGCCTGGGCCATTGGCTACACCCTGAGTGGCATGTCAGTATCGCCCCAGCCCTCCATGACCCCTGTCCTCCCCAGCACACCCCAAATTCTCTCACTCGGCTAGGGATTCCTAGCCTGCATTCAAGTCGGTTCTCCCCCACCCCAGTCTGGGCCTCATCATGTCTCTCACACATGATCCAGATCCAGAGGGATCAGGCTGTCCTGTCCTTTTTTTTTTTCTGAGACAGGAGGGGGCTCTCCCCCAGGGTGGGTCAGCTCACTTTGGTTCTGTGACCTCTCAGGGCGCGGTGCACACCAGCAGCCATTTAAAACTCAAAGACCACCCCTTGCGAGTGCTAGTCCAGTGCCGGAGGGCCTCAGTCAGTGAGGACCAAGGCTTTACTGGCTCTAACCCAGGCCCTGCCTGGAAGAAGGGGGCCTCCCTGTGTGGAGAGCTCCCTGAGCTTCTCCTTGGAAGAGGCTAGCACCTCTCCCTTCTTTGCCTCCCTCCCGGAGCACCCCCACTTCCACAGATCTTTCCTACCCGGATCCATCTACTGCTGACACCTCCCCAGAGCGGTGAGTGGGACAGGATGTTGTCCCCATTAGACAGAAGAGAAAAGCAAGACCTAGAGAAAGGAAGGTGGCAAGGCCAGGACCTAGGGCCCGACTCCCACTGCAGGGCTCCTTCCAGGTCTTTTAACTGCCATCGTGTGAGAGCCTACATAAGGGCAGGGTGCCTACGCTCACCAAAGCATCCACTGGTTGCCCAGCTGCTCCACCTTCCAGATCCTCAAGACCCTGAAGGCACTGAGAGGGGTGTCTGAGCCAGGGCTTCTAGCCTTGGTTCCAAAGTGGCCCCCTAAATGTTTACCTGGACTGGCAGAAGACTTCTGGGGTGAGGCTGCAGAAGGCAGGCAGAGGGGAGCTGGGAGGGGCTCCCCAGCCTAGTGATGCACCTCTCTCTCATCTGTGGCACCTCTTCCACCTCCTGGCATGTCCCCCTGGCATCCCCCATCCTTGCAGTAAAGAAGTCCCAGCACCTGAGTCCTAAAACAGCCTCCCAGCTGATCCTTGCCAAAATCCCAGGAGACTTGTCACCACCATCCATGGGAAGTCTCACCCCCTCAGCCAGGCACACAAAGCCCTTCATGTTGGCCTCTGCCAGGCTTTATGGCCTCCTTGTCCAACTTGCTTCACTGTATCCCCAGTAGATTGACCATACCAAACTGTGTGTCCTCACCCGGGGGTAGAGGGGAGCACAGCTCAGATGCCTGCTCAGGAGCTGGACACACACATGCCCACATGCATCCCCACGCACACATATACAGATATGCAGACAGATGCAGACACGACCTCTGTGCAGAAGCCCATCACCCAAGGGCACGTGGTTTTCTACCAAATCATACATGCAATGGAACTGTGAAATCTAAACCAAAAAGGGACCAACAAATCTGTTTTATGGTTCCCAGAGAGGCCAAGCATGGTCACATCACCATCCCCAAGCCCTTGAAGGGCAGCGGGGATGCAAGAGGGGATCCCTGACTCTGGCTGAGCTCTCTCTGGGCCCCAGGGTCTCTGAGCCCCACAGGGTGGGCAAGCAGGTCCCGACCAGGCTTTCTGGTTCTGTGGCAGACTTGCTGGGCAGCCCCAGGCAAGCCACCTTCCCTATTTCTCCAGCCATAAAATAAGGGAACTTGGATTAGCTGATACCTAAGGGCTGTCCAGGCCCACTGCCCAGCTCTTTTTAGTTCATGCCAAGTGCACAGAACGGAAGGGCCTGTAAAGGTGGCAGCAGTGAGGGGGGGCTGGGCACACCGCATGGCAAAAGCCTCCAGGTGGGCCGGGAAAGCTGCAGGGAATGGAAATGAGGTGGGCGCAAGGGCAAGAGGAACCTGAGCCAGGAGAGACAGAAGCCAAGAGCCACAGGATGGGAATAATTATTATGACCCATAATTGAAATTTATGGAGCAAATAATAAGTCCTATTGAACACTCACCATGCAGCGTTTATCTCATATTTTCATCTAGATTGAGGCCAAATATATCTGTTCTCATCTTGGGGATATCAAATGAGCAAAGCTAATGGGTTAGGCCCGATCCAGGCCCTGGCCTCCCAGCCCCCACAAACACAGACATAGGGCAAGGGTCAAAGGGACACAGGGGTACCCTCTGGCAAGCCCACCCACACCCAACCTCCTCAGCAGGCATGTAAGCAGCCTAGTGCACAAGCAGCAGCCCGGCCCTACCCCTGGCCACCCACGTGTGTGTGCTTACATGCCACCCCCACACACACACTGTGGACAGGACAGACAAGTACTGCCGCAGGCCCTGCCCTCCTGTCCTGCTTTTGCCTGTAACTTGACACCCCGCACTAATGCTCGCACTAATGCTCGTGCTCCCAAGGGCAAGGACTGAAACAGGAGGTTGTCAGAGGAGGAACAGGGCACAGGTACTTACTTCCACGTAGGGACCATACCCCCTAGACTGTGACCCCGCAGTCAGCGGAAACTCCGTGCCGGTACAGAAGGGAAGGAAGCGGTGCCCTGCATCAGAGGGGCGCCAACTCCCCTCTTCCCTGAACCTCCCTGACCTCCAGAGCCTGGCTCACGTGACTCACCTCGCCTGTCCTCAGGTCATGAGCCATCTGCAAGCCAGGCTGTCCAGAGCCCAAGTGGGTAAGGGAGACTCTTCCCCGGGGGAGGGCGTGCCAGCCCAGGTCCCACACCGTCAGAGAGGAGGGCACAGCCGGGCTGGAGGAGGGGCCGGCAGGAGCAGCCCCAGGCCTCGCTGTTCTCTATGGCTTTTTATTCCTATGTGATTTTACTGCTCACTCATATAGGGATTGGAGCCGTGGCGTACGGCGGGGGCGGCCAACGGAGGGCTGGGATCCTGAGCGAGGGGGCCCGGAGAGAGGTAGGACAGCAGCCCCGCCGTCTCCCAGCGCAGGCCGCTCAGGCCACTCAGGCCGCTAGCCTAGCCGAGGGAACCTTTCCTCTGTTGCTCTCTTCCCCACTGACCTCCTCCCTAGCCAACAGTAACGGGGGTGCGCAGGGGGCTGCTGGACCCCCTCAGTACTCTGACCCACCATCTCAGCACTAGAGACCCCCACTGCAAGGCTGGCACCAGGAACTGCACTGTGTCCTGAAGCAGCAGCTAAAGAAACTGGGACGTTCAGCCTGAGAAAATGGGCCTGACACAAGCAAACAAGGTCCAGAATCCTGTGTGCCTCGGAATAGCCCCTGGATACACAAAGGGCAGCTCAACCAACGGTGTGGTCTGTCCCTAAGGGCTGTCCAAATACAGAAGGCGAGGACAGCCTTAGTGGCTAGTGGGCTTGTACCCAGCAAAGTTTGCAGCAGAGCCTGGAGACTGCAACAGGGATGCCACAGGGGAGTCACAGCTGGGACGGGTGGCCCGCCCTGCTCAGACCCCATAGACCGCAGTCCTTCGGCCTGTCCTCCCGGGGGTCTCTGCTGGCCCACGCTGCGTGTGACAAAGCCAAGCTCAACCTTCCTCAGCTCCTGTTTCAGTGAGACAGGTGCTGAGTGTGTCCTGCAGAGAAGGGTATGGGGAACCCCTGTGGAGTCCTAGAGCTCGGGCTGCAGCCTGACCCCACTCCTTCTCCCGGCAGCTGAGTCTTTGCTCTGAGGGAAAACACACGGAGAACCCACAGTGTGGTTCTTTTTATTTGCAGTCCTTCTCGCTTCACCCCACAGAAAAGACACTCAAGAGCTTGGCAGAGGGGCTGCCCGCTGTGGGGGAAGACCAAGAATAGCAAACGGGCCAAGGGGCTCATCCCAGTCCTCAGGGTTAGCTGCTGTCATGGCAGAAAGGGGGGAGAGGAGAGAGCCCCCATCTGCCAGTCTGGCTGGCGGAACGAACACAGAGCAGAGGCCCTGAGTATGAGGTGTCAGGGTCACCCAGGCAGCCAGCACCAAGGAGAGAAGGGGCCCTCAGGCCTGCTGAGGCCTTGGGGACCAACCCTGGTCTGCCCCAGGCTGCTACCCCGTAGGTCTCCTCTGTACTCCTGCAACATGACCTACGCCATCACCGCGGCCGCAGCAATAGGAGGTGAGCGTCCATGACGTTGGTGCCAGTCAGCCCCGTGTGCAGCAGGTGCACCCCGCCGCGGAAGCAGCGGAAGAACGTATGTGAGTCATTGCGGGACAGGAAGGAAGCCACGTCCAGGCCTTCAGCGGCAGCCTGGCTGGCAAGCTCAGGCATGACCCACGCCCCGGCTGCCTCCGTGGGCCCATCCTGCCCATCGGTGCCACCACTCAAAAACAGCACATCTACGGGTCCCGGTGGCCACCGTCCCAGCTCTGCTCCAACACGCAGAGCCAGTTCCTGGTTCCGGCCACCCTTTCCCGAGCCCTGCAACTGCACGGTGGGCTCGCCACCAGCCAGCAGGCAGATGGGGCCCCCAGCCCCCACCACGGTCTCCAGAGCCTCCTTTAGCTGCAGGTCCGGGAGCTGGAGCTCAGCTGCCAGCTGGTGGAGTTGTTCCTCCTGCTCCACGGAGGCTGCAGTCCCAGGCGGGGTGAGGTGGGCTCCAGCCACTCGGGCGAGCAGCCCGTAGAACTGGGCCACGCTTTTCACATCGCCCTGTATGGCTGCGCTCAGCACCACGGCCCGGTACCCCAGCGCCTCGGCCCGCTGCTGGGCCTCAGCCAGTGCCAGTGCGTTGGAGCCGATGATCACGTTGAGCACATGGCCACAGGTGTGCGGCCCGTGAGGGTCAGAGTCAGCCCGAGCCAGCACAGTCTTCACGGAACGTGGCAGGGCTGCACGAAGGCCATAGCGATTGAGGATGTGCAGGCAATCTTGCACGTTGTGGACGCTGGCCACTGTGGGGCCGCTGGCGATCACCTCCACCGGGTCCCCCACCACATCTGACAGAATCAGGCTCACCACCTGGGGAGGCGGCACAGAAGCAAGGCTCAGTCCCTCCGGGTCCTCACCCCACAGCCATTGAGAACAAGCAGCTACCCATCCCCTGCCATGTGTCCGCACAGCCTCAGACGGCCCCGGTGCGTTTCCTCACCCTTTCCTAACCCCTCTCCAGGGGGTCTGCAGAACATGTGCCATTTGGACACCCCACCCCCATCCGCTCGGAGGCCCCTCCCAGCCAGCCCCGTGGATTCCTACGCCAGGCCCCTGCCAATTTGTATGCCGTTCCAGGCTTTTGTCTCCCTGGCACGTGTGGTCTGGCTCCAGCAGCCCAGGGCTGCCTAGGGTAGCAAGGACCCACGCACCTGGGCAGGGTAGGCGGCCTGCGCCAGCCCCCCACCCTTGAGCTGGGACAGCGCCTTCCGGATGGTGTTCAGCTCCTGGATGTTGGCCCCGCGGGCTGCCAGCAGCTTGGTGAGTGTCTGCTTTTCCTCCAGTGTCACAGGGGGAATAGGCGCGGGCAGCAAGGCTGAGCCCCCACCTGCAGAGACAGTGAAGAAGTTGGGCAGAGGGGATAAGACTGCAAAAGAACCTCCCCACTTAAGGAAGCAGGCAGGAAGTACCCACATTAGGGAAGGGGCTGCTGGAAAGGTGGGGTTAGGGTGCCCCCGTGTGGACATGCAGGGACCGTGCGTACAGTCACCACACCCTGGGCTGTGTGCCCTGCCTTGGAGCCCAGGTCCCAGCAGGCACTAGAAGAACTATTCACATTAAGAGCTTGGAATAGGGGGTAGACCAGGAGGAGACAGCGAGACCGAGGATGGGCTCCGTGGGAGCTAGAGACCTGGGTTCTAGCCCCAGATCACACTGACACAGATAACAGAAACAGCAGGGACGTTTTACCCCTGCGACACCCTGAGTTATATGCTCCCTATATGCCCTCTTATGGTCGCCAAACAAGGTCATTCTGGGGAGGACCCCCAGCTCGAAGGAGGCCAGATAACCTGCCCAGGGCCACCCAGAGGTCAGCCATCCAGGCTCTTTACTGCCTCCCTTGCTCTGTGACCCTGGGGGCTCAGACCAACCATCTCTCGCAGACCTGATATTTGGGACCACCACCACCGCCCCCTAAACTGTCCTGAGCCAATCTGGCACCCACACCTGAGATGAGTACAAGCAGCAGATCGTCAGCTGTAAGACCTTCAGCCAGCTGCCGGATGGCCAGTGCAGCCCGAAGGGCATCACGGTCTGGCAGGTTGTCCTCTGCACCCTCAAATACCTGGACACGGCTGTGTGGCTTCAGCAGCATCTCCCTGAAGAGAGAGAGAGAGAGAGAACAGACAGCAAGAGATGGGGCAGGTTCCCCTCCTCCCACCTGATTTCTCAGCTGTATAGGTGAAGAATGCCAACTGACACCCATCCCGGAGCCAGTCCAGACCCAGAAGAAAAGGGATGCTGGTGAGGGAGGGAGGCCTGCCTGATCCAGAGCCGAGTTTGGGCTTCACTTCCCCCCCACCTGGGGACAGTGGGCAGTAGCCCCCCAAGGCTCCTTACTGCTTGCCAGCATGCTCCATGGCAGCTCGGATCCCCTTGGGCACGCTGATCACACCTTGCACGAGATGCTGGCCCAGGAGCTCCTCAGCTGCAGCGGCCATGCCCAGCACAGCCTTGCCAAAGCCCACCAGGTGGAGGTTTTGCCGCAGTTGAAAGCTCCGGTCCCGCACCTTCAGCAGCCCGCTGCCGGGATCCAAGGACAGTGCCCGGTGCAGCATGGGGCCTGGGAGCATGGCACCCACAGTGCTCTCGAAGAGCTGCTGAGCCTGCTCTGCCAGGGCCATGCCACTGGCCTGCCGGACCACTGGGCCCCCCGAGAGGAGCGGGCGAAAGGGGGCTCGGGCCACGCAGGGCAGAACCTGCAGGACTGCAGCCATGCCCCACTGCTCTCAGCACCACCGGGCACCCATGGCTGCCTAGGGGGAAGAAAGCACTAGTGAGGCTGCTGCAAGACCAGAGACAGACGCCCCCCCCCCCACCCACAGCCACCTCTCTGAGGGCTTGGGGCCGCTGGACCCCACAGCGGCTGCTGCAGTGGGCCAACTGGCAGGCCAAGACTTTCTGAGGCCCTCAGCTGCCTGATCTCACTCCAGTTGTCAGAGCCCAAGCCTGCCATCTACCATGTCCTCCTCTTCTGCAGGCTATCCTCTAACCCTCTGGACACTCTGTCCTGAGTCCAAAGGTCCTGTTAGCTGAGCCCTCCCCCTAAGCCACCCGCTCTGGCCGGAGAGTTAATCATTCACAGAGGGAGCAATTCCTATCAGTGGGCTCCTGCCCCACCCCTTTTCCACCCCCTGCACTTCTGAGCGTTCCTCCAGGGGCAACACCCCTTTCTGGCACTCCTTCCTTGCCTCTTTACCACTTCTGTTGCCAAGAGGCTGCTGGCTGTCCCACCAACTGACCCCGAGCCTGATGACCTGCAGCCTGCTCTACGTCATTAGCTCGCGGATCTGGGCTGGGGAGCCTGGGAAGGCTAGGTTTGTGTGGGGAGGCTGCAGGCTCACAGGAGCACTGATAGACAGGCTCAGAGCACATCCTCAGGACACATAGCCTGCGGAATCCCAGCACTCAAGGCCAGTTCAGCAAAACGCTCAGGTTCAAATGAGAAGTGGCAGCAAAGACTGGCTCATGCTGGGACCTTAGAGAAGTCACTAAACACCATATTGAGGCCACGTATCATGGGGCCCAAGCTGGACAGAAAAGGACACCCTTCCACCTGCTTGGCTGGCCAGACCCAGCCCTGCCAAGAAAACGCCTTTCGCTCCCACATAACAAGACAAGTCTTGGGTCACACCACCCGCAGGAGTGAGAGCCGAGTGTCTAGAGCAGGAAAGGCCAGCCTCCCACAGCTGAGGCCAAATAGTCATTTTCCCCACTGGGCAAGGTAAAGGCTAAAGAAGACTGGGGGTGAAAGTCAGGAGGCTGTAAAGGAGTTCAGGGACAATGAAGCCCCAAAGAGATCATCTCTAAAAAAGGCATCCACTTTAGTGATGCCCACCATAAATACCACTGGCTGACTGCAGCAGCAAGCGTGGACAGAGCAGGGGAAGGAGGCTGGGAAACAGGCTCCAGCTCTACCACAAAGACAGCTCCTTTTCTTTCACTGGACCTCATGTCAAAAATGAGAGGTGGGATGAAAGTAAGACTAGTGCTCTCCCCTTGACATCCTTGGCCTCTCTGCTGCTGCCCACTGTTAACACAGAAAACTTGAACCCCAAACACTTTATCCCACACTCAAAAAACCTAACAACGTGTAGCCCTCAGTCACTTAGCCAGCATGGTTCTCAGCTTTCCCATAAGACCAATACTGCCTGACTCCAGCCCTGAAAGGGAACACAGAGGGTGCCGCCATGGGAACTCGGAAAATGGGCTCCGCTTTTGCCAGGAAGCCCCTGGGACTGGCCCCATTGGACTAGGAACCAAAAGCAGCTTAGAATCTAGCAACAGCTTGACAGCCTGGGTGAACTCTGTACCTGTTTCCCAGATGGACACTAGCCTAGAGGATCCCAGCCTTGCCACGGTATACCAGGGCCCAGGGAAGGGGGGGGTGAGAATGGGGTGTCTTCAAGGCTAAGGTTGCCAGTTAAAATATAGGACGTCCAGTTAAATTTGAACTTCAGATAAACGAGGAATTTAAAATATAAGTACGTTCCATACAATATTTGAACATACCTACACTAAATAACTATTTGTTGCTTATCTGAAATTAAAATTTAACTAGACGTCCTGTATTTGTATTTGCTAACCAGCCACTCTCTACCCCGGGCACCCTCCTAAACGCCCAGGTGCTTCAGAACGAAACGCGGAAACACGGAGAAAACCCTCCTTGACTCCGCCCCGCCACCAAGTGGGACTGGAGCCACTTCCGGCCTTCTCCTGCCTGCACATGCCCCGGAAGTAACGTCAGCCACAGGCCTTTGCCAGGGAAGTGGCTGCCGCGTGATGTCCGGTGGTGACCCGAGGAATAAGTGCCCGCCGCCACCTGGACCGCCACTGCCTCGCCCAAGGACTGCTTCCGTGGGCCCCCGCGCCGTGGACTCACCGCTCCACGGCTCAGGGACGCGGCTTCCGGTGCCGGAGACCGGAAGTACTCACGGGTGGGCGGAGCGGAACCCGGAAGTGTAGGGTGGGAGGGGCGGAGTCGGGGTGCCGGCGCGAGCTGCGGTGGGACTCCGGTGCGGGGGGAGCAGAGGGGTAGAGCCTGAGGGATTGGCTCCGCCCTGAGCTCTGGGAGTCTTGGATGGAATCACCTTCGGGCCTCACTGCCTTCATCTCTGCAATGGGGCAACGAATCCTGACTCACCGATTGCCGTAACCGTCCCCTCCTTTATCCCCTAGGATCCCATCAGTCAGCACATACATTCCTTGCTCCTATTAGGCGCCCGGCACTGGACTGAGCAAACGGGCTGAGAATTACTACTTCCCCACAACCCACCCCTTCTGGAGCCAGATTAAATCATCCTGGCTCTTCCCCAACGCTGTAATCCCCCAACAACTTTGTGTTCGCCTCTCTCCCCCTTGGCCAACCTAGTAACAGCTCGGACTCGGAAAGTTCTACTCCGTGATCCTTTAACACACAAGCTGTGTGAACAACGAATGACCCTGGGCCTCCCTGACTCTCCGCTCTCAGACTGTGTCCACCCTTGAGCTCGACTTGATGCCTTCCCACGTTCAAAAGACAAGTTCTGACCAGACTCTAAAGATACAAAAGAGTGCACTTTTTTTTTTAACTGATGTTTTCTTGGGGAGAGAGGGAAGGGAGTTACATCACAAATCACACAGCAGACTTTCTAAAAATCTTAAAACATATCCCCCCCCCCCCGCTTTTGCAATTGCCACATCTCTCCATATCGTGCTCTGCTCTCCCGAGCTCCTACCTCCTTCCTAGCTGTTTGCCTGGATTTTTCTTTCCCTTTATAATAGAGGACCTTTTTTTCCTATCATTCTCTCCCAAACTTCCCCACTCCATCGTCAAAACAAAGGCACTTCTTTAGATGTAGGGAGATTGTAAATACTTAAAAGTTTGGCTTTTCTTTGCTTATAGTAAGACGTCTTTATCAATTGTGAATTTATTCATTCCTGCATCATTCAAGGGACATTTCCTGACCTATATGGGTCAAATGGTATAGCTACTGGGATGAATAAGAAGTGGTACTTTTAGTTGGGAATTTTACTCTGCTTTTATAATGACAGTCCCACACTGCCGGAAGGAATGTGTATTTGAGGACCTCTTTCATTATTTACTGCCAGAGACTCATGAACAGACACCATTTACTATGCCAGCGCTGTTCTTCTGTCAGACTGTAAGCAGGAATATACCCATTTGTGAAATCCCCCATCCCACCCCACAGCTACTCACAAGATGTATTTAACATCAAGGTTTAGATGCCCACTGGACTGTGAGTTCTTAGAAGGTGATGACTTGGTCTAATTCGTATTTGCATCTCTACTGCCTTACATAGGACCAGGCACTAATAAAAGCTGGGATTTCTAATTCCCCCCACCTTTCTTTCTTTCTTTTTTTAATGAATTAACAAGAGAACAGTGAAGTACTCAGCTGCAAAGTGCTGCAGACCCAAGGTGGAAAGAATTTCACAAAAGGAAAAGAGATGGTGGTGAATGGAAGGTGAAGCCTTCATGAAGCAGTGGGATTTAAGTCTAAGAAAACAATTAGGCTCATTAGACTGTATACACATACCTTGAGAGTAGGTGTGAATATGTCTATCATCTTTTTTTTACAATGTTAGCTATTTTATTTTTTCTAAGATTTTATTTATTTATTTACTTGAGAGAGAGAAAAAGAGAGCATGAGCAGAGGGAGGGGCAGATAGCAGACTCTGCTGAGTGTGGAGCCCAAAACACTCCATCCCAGGGCTTCATCCCAGGACCCTGAGATCAAACCCAGAGGGGAAGCCAGATGCTTAACTGATCGAGCCACCCAGGCACCCCTGTCTATAGTCTTTTTAAGTGCACTTGGGCAATAAGTATCAACGTCAAAAATGTGACAGGCGACTTCAGTCCAGGGAAATAACTGGATGTATAGACAAAGATAATGTACGGGTGGGGTGCCTGGGTGGCTCAATTGGTTGAGCATCCATCTGACTCTTGATTTCGGCTCAGGTCATGATCTCGTGGGTTGTGAGATCGAGCTCCACATAAGGCGCGTACACGCTCTTTCTCTCTAAAAGTAAATAAATAAATCTTAAAAAAAAAAAAAAAGATGAGGTAGGGGAGGAAAAAAACCTTTTCCCTCTATTCTCTTAGGTTCAGTGGCTGAGGCCCTGGGACAAACTAAACTGACGGAAGACAGATTAAAGGAGAAAAAAGTTTATTTAAAAGTATATGGGGGGAGGGGGCTCACAGAAATGAAGTAAAAACCCCAAAGAAGCCATTAGGCCTGAGAGCTTATATACCATTTTTAACAAAGAGCGATAAATTTGAGAGATGTGATAAGACAAAAGGAGTTCGAACTTCTCGGGGCAGTAAATTGTGGGAAAGTAAATATATGGGGGAAACTAATGGAAGATAAGGATTACTGTAGTAAGATTTGTTTGTACAGATTCATCTTGGCCTTGGCTCTCCATCTCCTGGTACAGGCAGGACTCCTTTCTCATGGGAAATTTATGTTCTGCTTTTAGGTAGGAAGGAGGAGGACAGGGAGCCTTTTCTGCATCTATTCTCAAATGCCTTCAACTCAAAATAATCCTTATGCCAAAGTGACATATTTTGGGGTGGCATATTCTGATCCCCTTCAAATGGACATGAGATATTCAGCCCAGAGTTGTTAGGAGTATAAAGCAATCTAAAAACTCATTGATAAGAGAATTTATACAAGTAAGTTATAGTACTTCTAAACAGACATTAAAAATGGTATTCTAATGTTACTAAGGCTTACATACATGTTACTTTTTGCAATGCTATTTTATGTTTTTAAAAAAACTATTGAAGGGCACCTGAGTGGCTCAGTTGTTAAGCATCTGCCTTTGGCTCAGGTCATGATCCCAGGGTCTTGGGATAGAGTCCCACATCAGGCTCCTTGCTCGGCGGGAAGCCTGCTTTTCCCTCTCCCGCTCCTTGTGTTCTTGCTCTCGCTATCTCTGTCTCTGTCAAATAAATAAATAAAATCTTTAAAAATAAAAATAAAAAAACTATTGAAAAGACCATTTAAGGGGCGCCTGGCTGGCTCAGTCGGTAGAGCACATGACTTATGATCTCAGGATTGTGAATTCAAGCCCCCCATTGGGTGTAGAGCTTACTTTAAAAAAAAAAAAAAAGACTATTTAAGTTAAATATAAGCCTTCCCCATTATTCAAGCAAGCCGAAGGAGAGAAGGCAATGTACTAGGGTAACATTACTCATACCTTATTGAGGGAGGGTTTACTGAATTTATTGATTCAGATTAAGCTTTAATTTAAATGTTCCCATTTAGAGGAAAGGAGAAAGTCATTTCTGGGTGATGTTAGGTCATCAGTGACCAGGGGAAGGTGGCAGTAATGGTGCCCATTCTCCACTAACAGTGCTGAATCTCAGGAGTTCAACATGGATAAAGTACTTGGTCCCTATAACTCTGAAATCACCCTCCCACTCCGGCATACAAGCTCAAGAGGGTCATTGGGGTAGTGAATGGTACAAATTCGTGAGAACAGTGCTCAGTCTTGGGCTTTCTGACTTGGAACTTTGCTATAAATAAGTCCTGCTTGTCGAAGAAGCTGATTACACATGACTGCAGCCATCTGAGGTTTCAGATGCCTGAGGAGGTCTGGAGTGTTACTGCAAGCTGTCAGTCCAGCAGAGCCAGCAGCCATCTCCCTAAATTACCTGCTCCTCTATCGACATTCACCCTGCTATCCTCCAACCTCAAACCACGGTGGTGGTTACTAGCTCGTTACCACCTAAGTCCAGTTCTCTCCCCCTCCAGCACTTCCTGGCCCCCTTGTCATTGAGAAGTGTCATTCAACTAATTCTGGCCAATGAGTAGCAAGTGGAAGTGGTGTGATTCATTTCTGGGCAGTTAACTGCCCTAGTGAGGCCTTCCTGAGCATTTTCCCTTTGGACTTGGCCAACCGACAACATTCAAGATGGTGGCTTCTTTGCCAACCTAAGACCTGAGTGACTGATGGGAAGAGCCACCCTGCCAACCTAGAAAGGACAGGTATTGAAAGTGGAAAATAAACCTTTGATGTTTAAAGCCACTAAGATGTGGGAGAGAAAAAAAAAAAGCCACAAAGATGTGAGGGTTTGTGTTATTGCACCATAACTCAGCCTATGCTGGTTGATATGCACACTTTATCCTGTTGCAACTTGGTTTCAGAAATCAGGACCTGCATCTCAGAATCTTGATCTACTCTTGATACCTTTATCATCTGGAAAATGTTGGTTCTCACTGGCATTCATCTTGCTAGATGCACCAAGAGCTGAAGAACATCTTGCTGTGCATTCATAAATTCAGGAGAGTCTTGTGCACTAATCAATACCACAAGGCAGGAGCACAAAGCAGAAAGCAGCTTCCATGAAGAGAAATTCTTTGCATCCGTCTTGGGTTTCTGTGGCACGGCAGATTTTTAGTCCATCAGTTCATGTGGTTTCTGGAGTCTTCCTCCTTTATTGCATTTTAATTGTGACTAGACAAAGATAAATGATAGCAAGAATTCAGGACCAGCAAGAAATGTAAGATTGATGTAGAACCAAAAATAGTGAATAGGAACGTTTTCAGTCTTTTCTCCAGTAAGATGCACTCAGTTTGGGGATTCAATCAAGAAAGTATTGTGAATTATTATACTGCATCCATAAGAGAACCTGTAAAATGTTCTGCCACCTTAAAATCCACTGTGAAGGGGCACCTGGGTGGCTCAGTCGTTAAATGTCTGACTTGAGCTCAGGTCATGATCCCAGGGTCCTGGGATAGAGCCCGGCATCAGCAGGAAGCCTACTTCTCCCTCTCCCACTCCCCCTGCTTGTGTTCCCTTTCTTGCTGTCTCTGTCAAATAAATAAATATTTTTTTAAAAATCCACTGTGAAAATAAAGTAGTGATTTTTAAAATTTATTTATGCAAAACCTGAGATAAGTCAGAGGCTCTCCATCCTCAACTCGAGGTAGCTGCCTCCTCAGGGAGGCACTCCTGGTGTCTTGGCCTCCCTTCCCACTTGTCCTTGACATCCTGGGCCTTTTCCTTAGCATTCAGCCCCTAATGCCTCACAGAGTTGGCACCGAGGGGTAGAAGAGCACCCTTTTCAGGGTTTCCAGGGCCAGCTCTGCAGTGACCTTCCACTCTCCACCCCTGCCCTTGTCTCTGCAGTGCTGGACACTTCTCTGGGGCAGGCCCAAGGTGGGGTGCTCTGGGAGATGCAGAGCTCTGATGTGGGGATGGCGGAGTGAAGGGCCACTCAGTGGGAGGGAGAGGGTCAGGAGGTAGGGAGGAGCTGTGAAGGCTGTGAAACCCTTCACAGCTATTTTTCTTGGAAGGAGGTGTGGGGGATCCAAATAATGCACCCAGAAGAAGCTCATCTGTGACTGATGAGGGGCTGCTGAAGCACGAGAGGCTGAATTATCAGAAAGGGTTTTTAAGCCTTTTCAAACAGTTCTGTAGGCTTAGAGGCAGAGGCCCTGGGGCTCTACACAGTCCTTCCTGGATCTGGGCAGTCTAGGCTTATCTGGGAAGAACCCATCCCTTCCTTCCAGAACAAAAAGGCATTGTCTACCAACAATGGACTTTTTAAAATGTGAATGATTACCTACCCTTTGCCCTAGAAACAGGGCTGGAAGTTTCCAGTTAGAAATCCAGACTCTAGGCTTATTGGCTGTGTGACTCTGGGAAAGTTACTTAACCTCTCAGAACCTCAGCCTTCATCACTAAAATGGGGTTGAGCATTAAATAAACAAGTGTTTAAAGTACCCTGCAGGGCACTTTAAATCACTACTTTATTTTCACAGTGGATTTTTTAAAAAATATTTATTTATTTGACAGAGAGAGACAGCAGTCGGTTAAGCATCCAACTCTTGATCTCAGCTCAGGTCTTGATCTCAGGGGTTCCAAGTTCAAGCCCCACGTTGGGCTTGGGGGCTCTGCCTTCGGCTCAGGTCATGATCCCAAGGTCCTGGGATCAAGCCCCATGTTGGGCTCCCTGCCTTGCGGGGAGCCTGCTTCTCCTTCTCCCCCACTTGTGCTCTCTAGCTCTCTGTGTCTCTCAAATAAATAAATGAAATCTTTAAAAAAATATTAAAAAAAAAAAAGTGTATGTAGAAAGGCTCCAACTTGTGGCTGGGCCAGCTTTGTGGGTATGTGGCCTGTGCAATTCACACAGGGAACCAAGGTCAGAAGGGTTCCGCACTTGAATATAGAATATTGTCGAATATTCTACTGTTTCTGTCTTGCATTTCTTAAATTTTTTGAGGGGGTGTCCATATTTGTATTTTGTCCTGGGCTGTGAAAATTATGTAGTCGATCATGCTACCAGGGGGAAGATGCCCTCCTTTCAGATCCCCCTGGTCCTGGAGGTCAGGACCTCTCTGAAGAATTCCAGCAAGTGGCCACATGTTAGGAGTGCCCGAGCTCCATGCTGGGGAGACTAGGGGAAGCAGAGGCGGCACTGCGCTTCCTGAGTGAGCAATGCTGAGGCTGTCCTGAGAAAGTCTGAGCCCCCTGCTAGGACAGGCACATCCTGACCACTTGGCCCAGGAGAGCTCTTTTTTTTTTTTTTTAAGATTTTATTTATTTATTTGAGAGAGAGAATGACATAGAGATAGCATGAGAGGGGGGAGGGTCAGAGGGAGAAGCAGACTCCCTGCTTGAGCAGGGAGCCCGACGCGGGACTTGACCCCGGGACTCCAGGATCACGACCTGAGCCGAAGGCAGTCGCTTAACCAACTGAGCCACCCAGGCGCTCCCCCAGGAGAGCTCTTTAAGCAAGAGACCTAGAAACCCTCGGCTGGGCTCATTCAGTAGCTGAGGGCCAGGCTGATCGCTTGGGGAACGGAACGCTGCAGGTAATTCAGGCGGGGTACAAGCCACATGAATTAGATGAAATCAGCCCGGGGTTCCTTGGGGAAAAAAAATCAAATGTTCTAATCGTCTAAAATGCTTTTTTTTTTTTTTAAGATTTTATTTATTTGACAGAGAGAGCATAAGCAGAGGGAGAGGGAGAAGCAGGCTCCCCACAGAGCAGGGGGAGCCCGATGCGGGACTCGATCCCAGGACCCTGAGATCATGACCCGGGCCGAAGGCAGCCGCTCAACCAACTGAGCCACACAGGCGTCCCTAAAATGCTTTTAAGTATATATTAATTTGATTAACAGAAGGAAAAAACAAAAACAAAAAACCAGTAGAAAATATGTTTCACTGAATGAAAGCACTGCTGAGGTGCCTTTAATGCCACAGAAGAGATTTGTAACTTCCATTTGGTGTAAAATGTTACCTCCACTCATGGCCATCATTATTTCCTCTTGGTGGTAAGTGAAATGAAGCACTCATTTAGTCAATCAGGCAATTTGTCAGGTACGAAGTGGTTCTATGCAAACTGAGTGTGACAGCTGAAGCATGCTGTACAGTCACCGTGGGATGCAATTGTGTCCCAGCATTCTGCTCTTCCTCTGTGGCAATTATGTTCACACACACACACCCTTCCCAGAGAAGAGCCACCCAACTCTAGGTATTGTGAGGGCTGGTTTTAAGAAGTGGAGGGGGAGTTTAGAAAACAACCTAGGGGTGCCTGGGTGGCTTAGTCATTAAGTGTCTGCCTTCGGCTCAGGTCATGATCCCGGGGTCCTGGGATCGGGCCCCGCATCGGGCTCCCTGCTCGGTGGGAAGCCTGCTTCTCCCTCTCCCACTCCCCCTGCTTGTGTTCTTCTGTCAAATAAAATCTTTTAAAAAGAAACCCTCCCTCAAAGTATGTCGCTTTGACATGTAGATTGTTTTGAGCTGAAGGCAATTAAGACCTAGCCGACTCAGGAAAAGCTTCTTACCTCTCCCTAAACTGCCTGAGGAATTCAGATACGGGGCCTGTAAAGGAAGAGAGCTGTTACCAGAGACAAATGTTTACATCAGAAAGACTTACCTGCAGGGCATGGCAAACATTTGTTTACCAACCATTTGCTTTTATCCTCTTCTTATGAATTGTCTTCCTCCCCCTTGAAGCCCCAGCCCCCTACGCTTTTCTCCTTAGCTCAGGATGGTATAGAAACCTCAAGTGCCGGAGCACCTGGCTGGGTCAGTCGGAAGAGCAAGCAACTCCTGTTCTCGCGGTTGTGAGTTTGAGCCCCACGTTGGGTGTAGAGATTACTTTAAGTGAATAAATAAAAACTAAAAAACAAAAACAAACCCCTCCCAAAACCCTCAATTGCCTGACTGCCTGTAGGGGCCGAGGGCAGACTGCCCAAAATGTGCCACTTTGACATATTGCTTATTTTAAACAAAAGTTACTGAAGAGACAACCTATGCAGGAAAGACACTCAGACCTTCCTCTGTCCCCCTGAAAGCAGGAAATAAATCTCCCGGGTGAAAGACACCCTCCCTGTACCAGGACCTAAAGAGACATCCTTATCACCAGGGATGGGAAATTTAGAGCCCAGAAGGCTATATGAACAGCTCTTGTTACTTTTTACTAATTTATGACCCCAGGACAAATTCTGTTTAGAATTCCTTACTAATTGAACCTCCCAAAGTATGAAGTTTTCTTTGGTCTGTCAATTCCTCACAGATTTATTGTCTCTTTGTGTAAAAAGTATAAAAACTGCTCACCTTGGTTATTTCTTGAGGTCTCAATTCCATAACTGGGCCTCCATGCACATGTAATGAAACTTTATTTTTTTTTCTCCTGTTAATCTGTCTCATGTCAGTTTAATTCTTAGTCCAGCTGGAAGAGCTTGCAAGTAAAGAAGAATTTTTCCTTCCCTTCTGTTGGCGTAGTTGCCAGGGTACTTTAACTCACTGGACATCACTTGCTCCAGATACTGCAGCCCCTGAGAGATCCTGGGACATCTGACATACAACTGGCCAAAGGTAAGATTTCGTACCATGTCAGCTTCCTGGAATCTGTGTGTGTGGAATCCAGTGGATCTAGAGTAAGGAGAATCTTTTCTTTCTCTAAATTCAGACTAGCAGAAGAAACCATGGAACAAAATCCTTGGGTTTAGCAACTCTTGGTAAAAATTTGATAGAGTAGTCTTTGGTTATTGATTCATTTTCTCCCAGCGATTGTCTTTGTTTTCCTTTCTCTGTGTCTTTTGTATTGTCATAAAAAGGAATTACCATAGGGCAGAACACAGACATAGGCCCCATAAGCTTACTGTTCCAGCTGGCCTCAGAAAATGGCATCTCTTGAGACAAACTTTGCTGTGGATCCTCTATGTAAAGACAGGATGAGGTTTTTCCTTTTGTTTTGTTCTGTGTCCTAAGAGCTTGGCTGTGACCAGTGAGAACATTCTCTCTGGTCTCTGCCTTCGGGAGGGTATACATACCGGAGTGCACTTTGGTGGCCAGCACAACAGAGACACGCAGTTACAAGTCGCCCTCTGCCCATGACAGCTTGCAGGGGAATTTGTCATAAAAGGTCCCAGAGCATAAGGGGCCTTTGTTGTCTAACCTTCATTGCTTGTCAGTGCTGGAAAAATCCCATTCCCGTAGCACCCGCCCAGTGTCAGTTTAGCGGGTCTATGACTGGAGGCATCTCACAATTTCAAGGGAGACCGGAGACATCCTTACCTCCTGTGCAATGAAGATCTTTGTTCTTACACTAATTTTGGGAATGAACTCTTGGACCATGGATCCTGCATCATCTATGCCCTCTCTGGACGCCTCTTGCATCTTTGGGTAAGGAATTAAAAGGCTTATTGGTGTGAGTCGCTATTAATGGGTCCTATTCATCAATGGTGAGACGATAAATCCTTTAAATTGGCTATATTTGAAAAAAAAAAAAAATCCTTTACAAAGAGAACTCTTGAGATGCCTGGATGGCTCAGTCGTTAAGCGTCTGCCTTTGGCTTAGGTCATGATCCCAGGGTCTTGGGATCGAGCCCTGCTTCGGGTTCCCTGCTCCGCGGGAAACCTGCTTCTCCCTCTGCTACTCCTCCTGCTTGTGTTCCCTTTCTCACTGTGTCTGTCAGATAAATAAATAAAATCTTTACCAAAGGAAAAAAAAAATCTTCCAACTCTTGATCTCAGCTCAGATCTTGATCCCAGGGTCATGAGTTCAAGCCCCATGTTGGGCTCCATGCCAGGTATGGAACCTACTTTAAAAAAAAAAAAAAAAAAACTCTCTCTTTAAAAAAGGGGTGGGGGCAGCTGTGCCTGAGTGGCTCCATTGGGTAAGCATCTGCCTTAGGCTCAGGTCTTGATCTCCCGACGTGGACGTTGGCGCCATCGGCTCCTTGCTCAGCAGGAAGTCTGCCTCTCTCTCTGCTCATGCTCTTTCTCACTTGCTCAATCTCTCAAATAAATAAATAAAATCTTAAAAAAAAAGATAATGGCTAGCCTTAGGATTCCCTTGACAAGAGGGGCCTCGGTGGCTCAGTTGTTATGCGTCTGCCTTTGGCTCAGGTCATGATCCCAGGGTACTAGGATCGAGCCCCACATCGGGCTCCCTGCTGAGCAGGGGAGTCCGCTTCTCCTTTCCCTCCCCCTGTTCATGCTCTCTCTCTCATCACTCTTTCAAATAAATAAAATCTTTTTAAAAAATTAGACTTGGGGCCTCTGGGTGGCTCAGATGGTTAAGCGTCTGCCTTCGGCTCGGGTCATGATCCCATGGTGCCCAGATCAAGTCCCGCATCGGGCTCCCTGCTGGGCGGGAAACCTGCTTCTCCCTCTGCCTCTGCCTCTCTCTCTCTCTCTCTGACTCTCGTGAATAAATAAATAAAACATTAACAAAAAAAATTTTTTTAATAAATAAATAAATAAATAAGACAAATGACAACTAAGGTAAATTTCCTTTCTTAAAATACAGTCCTACCTGCCTATTTTAACTTCTCTTTCCCTAAAAGACTTGCAGAGAGCATTCCAGCCTAATCTCTAGGTTCAAAATATACAGGCTATTCTTGTAAATGCTGAAAGCCAGAAAGCGAATTTAGCAGAAGCACTTGGGACACGCAGTAGGGCTCACTTTGCTGTAATCCAGTCCGCCAGCTTCAGGCATTTCTGTGCAATAACCTTCACAGATGTATTGGACACCATTCCCCTACCCGCCCCCCCCCACATTCCCCATTTCAAAGAGTTCATATCCCTTGAACAGCAGCAGATCTTTTAAATTATAAAGCCCTTTTCCCTCCACTTTCAGAAGATCCTACCAAATTTAGAGAGGAATTAGAAAGATTAATTGCTATTCACAACCCCACTCACAGAGACCTTGACTAGCTGCTAAGGGGAGTTCTTCTGGCCCAAGATTATACTATGGTTATTAGACAGGCCACTCTGCCCCCTGAAGAAATCCCCCTTCACAGAAGAAACAGGTGACCAAAATTTCTCCGAGGCCCTCCTACAAATGATCTGCAAAAGGGCAATATTCAGAAACGAATAAAAGCCTAGGTTAAACTGTTAGTACTCAGAAAGAAGGCTTTTGTTAAAATGTTTTATGCAGACTGTACAAAGGCATAAATCTTTTGATTCCCATTTTAGATTTAAAAATCTCCATGATATAAAGAAACAAATTTAGTTAAAGGTTGGACAAATCCCTTGATATTCAGGCTGTAATCCAGTTCTTTAGGGAATTAACATCTTTGTCTTACAAATATCTATAAAACCAGGTACTCAATCCTAGAAACAAGTCACAGCCAAACTTGCTTTACAAACCTCACCTATTTCTCTAATAATGTTTATGGATATTATACTTTTTTTTTTTAAGTAGGCTCCTTGCCCAGTGTGGGGCTTGAACCCACCCAGAGATCAAGAGTCACATGCTCTACTGCCTGAGCCAGCCAGGTGCCTCTGTTTATGGATATTGTAAAAGAACAAGATACTGGAACAAAATTGTCCTATACTTAGAAAAAACCACTTACATTCTTTCTCTGCCCCTTAAAGTTATAAATCTTATGTCTTTTAATGACATAGCCCACAACTGCCTGAGAATAAAGGGGAAAAAAAGCGGGGAGGGGAGTAGGCCTTTTTAAAATACAGATTGCTGGGCCCCTGGGTGGCTCATCAGGCTCCCTTGCTCGCGGGAGGCCTGCTTCTCCCTCTCCTACTCCCCCTGCCTGTGTTCCTTCTCTCGCTGTGTCTCTGTCAAATAAATAAATAAAATCTTTTAAAAATAAAATAAAATACAAGTTGCTAAAAGGGCTCTTTAAGACAGCACCTCTGATAACAGGCAGATTTGCTCCAAATGTGGGACATTTTGTTCACTTCTGGATGGTCTTGCTAAAATTGATTTGTAAAAGAGCTCTATTTAGTTGGTTTGAAGGCAAGTGCTTGTAAAGATTGGGCATTCTAAAACTCAGAAATCTAGACACTAACCCAAATGTTTTTCAAGGTCATGTGATCTGGGAAGATATTTGGTACTAAAGCTAATTTAAAGTTGGTTTAATACATTTTTTTTAAAAGATTTTATTTAGGGCGCCTGGGTGGCTCAGTCGTTTGAGCAGCTGCCTTCGGCTCAGGTCATGATCCCAGGGTTCTGGGATCGAGTCTGGCATTGGGCTCCCTGCTCAGCAGGGAGTCTGCTTCTCCCTCCGTCCTCCTCTTTGCTCATGCTGGCTCTCACGCTCTCTCTCCCAAATAAATAAATAAAAATATTTAAAAATAAATAAAAGATTTTATTTACTTGAGAGAGAGCATAAGCAGAGAGGAGAGGCAGAAGGAGAGGAGGAAGCAGGCTCCCCGCCGAGCAGGCAGCCCCATGTGGGGCTCAATCCCAGGACCCCGAGATCATGACCTGAGCCAAAGGCAGACGCCCAAACGATTGAGCCACCCAGGCGCCCCTAAGGTTGGTTTAATCAAGGTAGACATGTCTTTAAAGTTATCAGCATGAAAATTAAAACTCTTATTCTGCCTGTGTTTACTTAAAGTCAAGTAAGCTGATGTTATCTGTTACAAATTGTTTAAAATAATAGTGATAGTTTGAAAGGATGACTAACTTTGAAGTCTCAAAGTTTTTATGGGTAGTCTAAGCATAATTGTCAAGAACAAGTAAATTAAATAGATGTAAATAAGATAAAAAGTTTCAGGTAAACTTTTTAAATAGTTTCTCCAAATCTTTTTGTAACCTGAAAGTTTAAAGTTTTGCTAAGTTAAATAATTCATTTAATTCTAATAACTCATTTAATTAATTTAATTTAAATCATTTAATTTTAAATTAAATTTAATATCTCACTGCCAAATATGATAAAATTATAAAAATTGAGTATTGGACATAGGTTTATCTACTTTTGTTTTAGTACAAAGAAACTAAAGATAAACTTGTGTCTGTTAGAAAATAGGTTTTGAGCCCATTAATAAAAGATTGTACTATAAAGAAACACGTTTCTAAATTATGAAATGTATTTTTTTTTAAGATTTTATTTATTTATTTGAAAGAGAGAGAGCAGGAACCACCAGAAGGGGGAGTGGGAGAGGGAGAAGCAGGCTTCCACGGAGCAGGGAGCCCGATGTGGGGCTTGATCCCAGGACCCTGGGATCATGACCTGAGCAGAAGGCACTTAACGACTGAGCCACCCAGGCGCCCCTGAAATGTATTTTTTTTAAAGATTTTATTTATCTATTATACTTGAGAAAGAGAGAGCATGCAAGCAGGGGGAGGGGCAGAGGGAAAGGGAGAGATGTCAAGCAGACACCCTGCTGAGCACGGAGTCCCACATGGCTCAATCTCATGACCCGGAGATCATGACCTGAGCTGAAACCAAGAGTCCAACGCTCAACCGACTGAGCCACCCAGGCGTCCCAGAATTATGAAAGGTATTCATAAATTTACCAATCTAAAGAACTCTAGTGTAACAGTTCACAATTGCTTACTTCTTAGTTTTCACTAGAAATTAAGGTTTCTAAGAGTTAAGCATTCTAATAAATGTAGTAATTAAGACGACTGGAAATAATAAGGGAAACAACTCTGTATACAAGGAAAATAAGGTATGTGCTTTTCGTAAGAAAAATATATGAAGAATGGGAACACATTTTCATTGAGGGAAAAGAAAATAATTTTGTCCTAAAGTGAGGCTGGTTATAAAAGAGGAAAAACTTAGGACAAAATCTGAATGTAAAAAGAAAATTATACAGGCATCTGGATTGCTCAGTCAGTTAAGTATCTGCCTTCGGCTGAGATCATGATCCCAGGGTCCTGGGATCGAGTCCCACATCAGGCTCCTTGCTCAGCAGGGGTCTGCTTCTCCCTCTCCCTCTGTGCTCACTCTCTCTCTCAAGTAAATAAATAAAATCTTTAGAAAGAAAAAAGAAAGCTGTAAAATATTTACGGAAAAAAAAAGAATCTTTGGGAAGAAATTTATGTGGTCAGTAATGGACACTTAGAATAAATTTATTTAAAATGAG